GTTTATTAGGTATGTATCTTCGCTCGTAATAACCACCATCTGATTAGTTGTACTAGGATGTATATTCGCTCGTAATAACCACCATTCTGATTAGTTTATTAGGATGTATCTTCGCTGTAATAACCACCATCTGATTAGTTTATTTACGATGTATATTCGCAGTAATAACCACCATCTGATTAGTTTATTAGGATGTATCTTCGCTGTAATAACCACCATCTGATTAGTTTATTAGGATGTATCTTCGCTGTAATAACCACCATCTGATTATTTTATTAGGATTAATTTTCGCTGTAATAACCACCATCTGATTAGGGTATTAAGATGTACCTTCGCTGTAAAAACCATCAACGGATTAATTGATTAACATTCCCGCTGCTGTAATAACAATCATGTTATTGACTAACATAACACAAAGATACAAAACCCTATAACACGAGAGCTTTCGAAAGGTGGATCTTTCTTAGTCGCTCGGGATATAGGGGTTTATATTTTTATGATAAAGTGATTTTTTTTAACCTACTTGATTTCCTAAAATCATAATTGACCTAGGTGAAATATCATTAACATTTCTAATGAGAGATATAACATTAACTGTAGGCAGCTGCTAACTACTGGCAGTGCTCGTTTACAATATTGTTTTCCTGTGTGTGTGACATAAAGTTGTCTATATTGAGACACGTCACCTTATCTATCTACACGCAGATAACATTTTTGATTTTCATATGTTCTCCTATCTTTGACTAAATACCATAACCTAGTATAATCTGATTTAAAACTATCATGTATTTAAGAAGTTCTGAATAATTTGTTTGTTGTTAAGTACAAAGTGGTTATCGAAACTCGATTTTTAGCGTCATGAGCCTTCAGACTTGCCGTTGAGCGAGCGGTGGGCTTGAATTAATTAGCCAAAAGTGATCTGATGTTCCAAAAGTTTCACAACCAACCAATATATTTTATATACATCATAATCACATTATTATTAACTAAATTGTAGCTGGTAATTACGTGCAGTTTTCTGGTGTATTCTTGATGAGATCTATTTTCGATGTTCTGAAAGATCGAAAATCGAGCCTAGAATCTTGAAAAAATGATTCAAATGCGTTATGCAATGCCGTTATCTGTTACATAATTTTCTAAGTTTAGTTATGTGTGACTCAGTAATGGATGATTTTTACAATTTTTCACAGTTGTTTTGTTGAAGATGTTTTATTTTATTTTTTGGAAATGGATAAAGAAGACGTTCTCGAATTTTCTCTCTCCTCATATTTTTGTGGCCATTTTTCTTCCCAAATTTTCTCTTTCTCTTTGACATACAATGTAACTGCTGAATTATCGATGGTACAGAGACGCGTTTGTATTTCAAGTTTATGTTTTGACTAATTATTTTGTTTTAACAACGTATTCATTTAGATTTTAGACTGAGAAGAGTAATATTTTTGATTCAAAGAAACACTAAAAGAGAGGAAAGAAAAAAGCCAGTAATGTTCAGTAGATAGCATTATATGGGAGCTATATATGCAATTTTCGGAATAGTAAGAAACAGCAAGAGCTTACTTCAAAGGATACTACGTGAACTTTTGACCCTAAGGTCCCGGATTTGAATACAGTTCTGTGATATTTAACGCGAGAAACATCTTTATTTTGTCTACACTTTAAGAAGACTCGAGGTAGAATGAAACATAATTAGATCAAATTTAAAAATAAACAATAAAGCGATTGAGGATCACTAAATTAATTTTTTTAAAGTTTTAAATGACTAATTCAGCCTACATCTTTAATTCTTTCGATGGATATATACAAACGTCTAATTCACAAAGTGCTATTTCATAATTAATATATATATATATATATATATTCTGATTCAAACGACGTGTCAAAAATAGCCCAATCACAAGCTGTAGAAAATTTATTTGAATGAGAAATGGCCATTTTTGAGAACCAGTTTCTTTTAACAAGTGCAGTCACAATCATACATGTTACTGGTGTCCCTGCGTGATCTTGAAGGAATTTCTGAAACAAACGAAAATTAGTTAACAAGTTGGAAGCATGAAAATAATTAAATCTAATATAACAAAGCATTTGTGAATTATCTGCGTAGTTTAATAGCGAATTTTTTTTCTTTGTTTCTTTTGTGTGTTACTCTTAAAGTCATGCTAAAATTGAATTGTTATCGTCATCTCCAATTTTCCTAAAACTTGAATGAATTTACTGTGATAGTTTAGTATCCAAATTTTCATGAAACACAATCATTAATAAATATTCAAGACAGTGAACTCACCTTTATAATCATTCACTGGTTTATGTGTGTTACGCATGTCACTGTGGCACGAGAACACCATCCTCTCACCCATTACATGGATCAAACGTGGATCTGTCGTTATATTTCCAAAGGGTGTTATCAACTGAAACAACAACAAACGAATTTTTATCCCTGAATTAATCAGCTCTTTGTTTAAAACATCCTTAAAGCAGTGAGCTTTAGTTTTATCTCGAACTCTCGCACGTGCATATTGAGACGTATTTTTCTGAGCGCAACCCTGATGAGTGTCTAGAGTAATACAGCTGCTACAACATTTATTGAAAGTATTATGGTTATTTAACCTCCTTCACAAAACCTAAAAGTCTAGCATCACGTGTTCTGTGTATAATGATGAACTTTATCGTTGGATCTTAAAGAATTAATTTTTTCTATACAGTTTCATATATAAAACGCATTAAGGCAAGACCGCCTTCAGGACATAAATGGAATAACAAAGAGGTAGTTAGTCCTAAGACCTAAATGGGACGGCAACGAAGCTCTAAGACATAAATGGAGTAACAAAGAAGTAGTTAGTCTTAACACCTAAATGGAACATTAAAGAAGCTCTAGGATATAAATGGAGTAACAAAGAAGTAGTTAGTCTTAACACCTAAATGGAACATTAAAGAAGCTCTAGGACATAAATTGAGTAACAAAAAGGTAGTCCTAGGACATAAATTAAATATCAAAGATGTAGTTAATCCTAAGACCTAAAGGGGACAACAAAGAACCTCCAGGATATAAATGGAATAACAAAAAAGGAAATTCTAGGACATGAATGGAATAACAAAGAGATAGTTAGCCCTAAGACCAAAATGGGACGACAGAGAAGTCCTACGACAAATGGAAAAGCAAAAAGGTATTCCTAAGACAAAAACAGAACCAAAAGAAGTTCTAGAAGATAAATGGAACAACAGAAAGTAGCATTAGGATATAAATAGGACAACAAGAAGTCCTAGAGCAAAATAAAACAATAAAGAAATATTTCTGGGACATAAATGTGACGACAAAGGTGTGCTAGTTCATAAATGTACTTAGAGTTCTATCAAGCCATGATCATTATGTTAATATTTATTTAATCACGGTTAGATAAGTTACAAAAACGTTCCTTTCCACCTTTGTGCACTTCACAACAATTAAGTTCTTTGAACTGTGAGTACAAGTATTGGTAATACAGTGGAAACCAGGTCATTTGTTCCGTGCTGAAAACTACCGAGAAGAAAATTGTTGTTATAGTCTGGGTTAAGGAACTCACAGAGTGAAACAATGAAACAAGTTTATTATGGTAAAAACGCTATATTTGTACGACTTCCTAGCTTTATGAGTCGTGTAACAGGAAGGACAAAATGTTTTAACGTGAACGACATGATGAGGATGCTTATTTTAACTCATTTATATCTACATATACTTTGAAAAAACACGTGATTAGTAAGCACAAAGAAAACAAAGGTAGTACTGCGAACAGCATTAGCTATGAGAGAATAGATTCAAAAATCGCAGGAGAATCAAATAGAAATGAGAACTAAACATTACAGTCGTACAGAAGTTATCGAACCGTCAAGGAAGACAAGTACATACCCAAGCTATACTCGTTTTTAACCGAACGAAATTAACACAGCTTACTTAGACCCAGGATTAGAAAACGACAAGCATAATGTTTATAAACACTATACCAGTTATTTCAATATCTACCAAAGAGGCAGAGTTTAAACAATAAACTAATAAAATCTCCAAATAAAGATATGTTAGTAGTAAAAGTAATGCATTTTGGGCCAGTTCGATTAAGATTTAAACCGGTTTCCTCCAATATGTTTTTCGCTTACAGATTCTAAAAACCTTTTAAATCGCAAACACTAAATAACATCATGTGAGTATATTGTTTTCAGAGGAACATATTGTCAAATAATAATTCGTGATAGCAATAAAACATATAAGGTTTTGGAACATTTCAAGAGTGTAGATACAGTCCTTGTGTTTTTATTAGCAAATGCTACAGAAACCAGCCAGAACATAAACACTTGTTCAGGTTAACATTATTTTAACAGTACTCGGATGCTCTAGTCATGGCGTACTCAAAGAAAAAGTTTAAAATGTTTATTCGGCTAACGTAAATGCTTTTCATAAGCGTTCGAACTGGGAGCAGGGCCCCCACTCCAACATAAAGAAGCCAGTAGTTGCCTCTACCCCCCCCCCATCTCCCATAATTTTGGAAAATATTACGATTTCCCCAAATTTGAATTGAGTTTTCGGTCCAAAATAATGACTCTCTGTGAGAAGATAATGTTTTTTAATGTTATAGCTAGAGATAAAATTCCAGAAGATAAGATAAATGGATGAAGATAAAAAAAAATAGAAAGTCATGTTAGGTTGGACATTAGACTGTATATTTTCACATTAATATCACTTGTGTGTTGTCCCTCATTTTCTTCACATCCTCGTCTCCAGTATATCAAAATAGGTCCAAGTTGTCATTGAAATTATAAAATTATTCCGTGGGAACATGCCTTCGAACTACTTTATTTTCCGAATTGCCCTCTTCCTCCTTCCAGGTGGTTTAACGGCAAGTCCGAGGGCTTATAACACTAAAAATCGAGTTTCGATATTTGCGATGGGCACAACATAGAGATAGCTCTGTGTGTAGCTCTATGCTTAATAACAAAGAAACAAACACTTTTGAATCATCCTCCCACCTTGACGTACACATTTTGTTTCCGACCCCTATTCCTTAAAGGGAAACTTTATCAACATTAAATATAACTTCGATTATCCAGTAATTTCAAAGGATTCTAATGTGTGCCTTTTCCCCTCTTGTTACGTTAAAACGAATATTAAGGACAATGGTTGGGTCACTGTACATTAATTTTAATTTTACAAAACTGATTTTAACCGTTCAAAAAAGGATATTAGAGCCGTAGAGTTATGAAAAAAACAAAACAAAATCAAAATATATTATATAAACTTGTAAAAATATATTTAACCTTGAATTTATCATATTAGTAGAGATCTATGTTTTATCTAGAATATTGTAACAATACACTGAAACATTTAAATGTAATATTACTTATCATGTATTTTTCCCGATAACCATAAAAATGGGTTGACATACCGTAGAAGACATATAGTATGAACTTGTATAATAATGTATAGAGGGAAGATTTGACCAAAAAGAAAACCCACCGTCTTAGGCTTCTGTGCAGTTAGTGCCATAGTTTTCTTCTTTTCAACATCACAACTGACTCGAGCTTTATTCTTCTTCTTTATCATCCGCTTAAGAAGACAAGAAAAAAAGAAGAGGAAGATTAAATTCACTGTTTACTTCATATACAAACATGTTCACTCGCTAACATTATTTTTTAACTTTCGGAGAAATGTCAATCATAATGTTGGAAACGAAGAACGTTATCCAGAATTCTTTATGAGTTTATTCAATTTTCAAGTTGCGATTTTGTGCTTGTTGTTATTTACTTCAGCACAATAAGCACTCGCTAAAGATCTATAGCAGTCTAGTTTGATTACAAGAATAATGGAAAAAATTTTTAATTTTAGAAAGACAAGTAAGGATCGATATACATACGTAACCCAAATAGCTATAGTGACATAGAAAGTTTTAATGCTACAAAAAAATATTCAAACAACAAAGTCAAAACTAAAAAAACTGAGTTACTTAAAATTTATTTTTTTTATTCCTACTTTGGCTCAGGCTGACATGAATACAGTGATCTGCGAAGGTAGGGATAAAATATTTTACATTTTCATTAATTCAGCTTTTGTATTTTTGAACTTTTGATTTTCTTGTTTCAATACCTTTTGTAGCTTTAAAACTTTCTATATAACTACCGGCCCGTCATGGCCAGGTGGTTAAAGCGCTCGACTCGCAATCTGCGGGTCGCGGGTTCGAATCCCCGTCCGACCAAACATGTTCACCCTTTCAGCCGTGGGGGCGTTATAATGTGACGGTCAATCCCACTATTTGTTGGTAAAATAGTAGCCCAAGAGTTGGCGGTGGGTAGTCATAACTAGCTGCCTTCCCTCTAGTCTTACACTGCTAAATTGGGGACGGCTAACGCAGATAGCTCTCATGTGGCTTTGCGCGAAATTCAAAACAAACAAACTATATTACTATAGTTAGCTAAGTTACGCAGATAGTAATCCCTACATAACTTTCTAAGATTTTTTTTTATTATACTTGTTTGTTTCCTTTTTATTAGCTATATTTTTGTGCGACAGCCATACCAAGTGTGGGGAGCGCGTATACTCGATTCGAATTTACTCATTAGGATCTCTACCAACCTACCCTCAAATCTAATTATATGCCCAAAGTAGCACATCGTCCGTTTCACACACATATACATATATATATAGTAGTATCCTTTTAGGTACAAGAAGGGGATATTTGGGACCCCAGACGTATGAGTTGTGTGAAAGAAATACTGTGAAATAGTCATTGTTAATATTCAGATATTTTAAAGGTGATTTTAAAAGGGCGATTTTTATGGCCGCCATTTTGTTTCATGACAATCCCTACTATTAAATACTACCGTACTCAATTATATGTAAAGTTTTACTGTATGACGTTCACTATAATCGACCTAGTCGGTTTTATTGGAGTTGATTTTGGTTAATTTCGATTGCAACAATAAGCACCTACTGAGAATACGTAGATTTAATAATAGGTAAAGTTCCATTGGATTACATTCCCTATAATCAATCTAGCTGTGTTCATGAAAGCTGAACTAGACCAAAACTGAACAAATGTATATTAACATATATATAAAATAGGTTTTAATAATGCTTAAAACAACGTGAATAACATTTCTTTGAATCTTAAATTGAGCACCACCTGATCAAACGATACAAAATATTCCCAAAATACATGATGCGACCAATAAGTAAAAAATACAACTAGAAATATATATGATTTAGTATACAAATATATCTCCAATGATATCCATTTTATACTATTATTTTTTCTGATTTATTTATTATTTATATTTTAACATCTTACTCCTGTGTCGCCATCGAGATGAAGACGAAGAGGAATGGCGGTCATCTTTTTGGATGATTGACTGGGAACAGCCAGAAGAGGATCCGGGTCGTAACGGCTTGCTTTTGATTGACGCTCAATGCTCTCTAGAGAAAATGGCTGTGGAACCTGAAATATTATGTTAAATTTATGAGCATTTCAAATTAGAGATGAGTTCAAGGTACAATTACAGACACGAAATCCACTACAAATTGGCTACAAAATTTCAGGTGTACCACATTTCTTAATATCTTAAAAAGTATTAAAATAGGTTCGTTCACTTTAGTTAGAAGTACATATCTTACATCATTTCATCTATCTAAAAAATTATTTTCCGGAAATATCCATAATGAGTGAATTCTCAGTTTCTACACTGTTCCTCGGCCTTTGCTATAAACAATTTATACAGACAGTGAACGTACAGTTAAAATTATTCATGACGTAGCTTTCGAGGGTTAGTTTTTGATTCACTATTAAAAGTCAACTAACATTTTTAGAGTAACGAGCTCAGCGGTAAGTGTGAGGGCTTATGGCGCTTAAAATCGGGTTTCGATAGCTGTGATGGGCAGAGCACAGATAGCCTATTGTGTAGCTTTGGGTTTAACAAAAAACAAACAGAATAATGATGTCAAGTTACACGCAAGGGATCGATATAAATGTTGACACTGAACTGTAATCACTAAGTTTAATATAATAAAATATACAATAAACAGCTTTTTCTAATGTGAAGCTTATCATATGCAATTTATATTAGCATGCAGCTTGTTTTAACTAAGCCTAAATTTATTTAGTAATATTTCTGCCACTTTTCTTGGAATTTGTTTGAGTAACTCAAGGAACATAACTGACTTTTTGTACTAGTATTCTTAATATTAATATTTTTCTAATTGTCTAAACACGTCTTCAGATTTATAGTCGGTCTCTCTCTTCTGAGTGTTTCAGGCACTAACAAACATCCTTGTACAAGGTATGAATAATGATGAAATCGTCGTCAAAAAACTAAGGATAAAACTTTATTATGAAGAAAAGTAAAGAAAAAAAACGTTTTTGGCAACGAGGAATTAAATAATTGGATCTTAACTTCAAGTGATTATGTCATGCAGATCACGTGATTTTTATCTTACCTTGAAATAAGTATTGCTGTCACGTGATTTTAATTTTACTTTGATGTGATTATTGTTATCACCTGATTATAATCGTATCTTGAAGTAATTATTGTTATCACGTGATCTAAATCGTATCTTGAAGTGTTTCTGTTATCACGTGATCCTAATAGTATCTTAAAGTGATTATTGTTGTCACGTGATCTTAACTGAAGTGTTTATTGTCATGCAGTGTAGGATAGGCAATTACGTTTTGCTGGGTGCCTCAACGGTTCATCCCAACTGAAATATATGCAAGAAAACATTACAGTTAATTTAGGGGTTTGCAACACGAAGATATATGTATATAATCACACTTCAAGCTTTATAGGTGTTTGAAAACTATATCATGAAAAGTGTAAAAATAAACTAAAATATTTTATAAGTTGGTCGCACCTCCATAGCTGGCTTTTACAAATACGACATTTACATACAGAACCAAATACTTGCCTTTTCAAGTCCACAATCACATTCAGCTTGGCGAAGTTGTACATAAAAACCCAGTAAGACAAACACGCCAATCAGAATCGTCATCATAACAAGAGTCAGAGATATAATACTGACGATCTTCGGGGCAGAGGAAGGACGTTTTGGATAAGCCTAAAAAAAATGTAATTAATAGAGCAAAGGAGCTGTTATTCGCGGATACGCTTACAGAGAAATATTTGTTCTGTTAATTAAGGAACGCAAAATAAGCACGATAAGTACATTTATCGAAGCTATTATTCTATTTCAGGCACAAAAGAACATTAAGTAAGTTTAAAAATGATTATAATGTATGGATATAAACAGTTTCAAGTTTGAAGGGTTAATTCTCTTGCACTCTTGATTGCTTCTTGAGAAAAATATCAGTTGCATTCACATTTAACACCCTATTATATACTTGCCTTGTTAACACGACATTCATATTTATGTATATAATAATAAAAAACTGAATCCATATTTTGATCAAACTAATGATTTTGTTGTCAAACAAATTATAACAAATAATATATCCGAAAAATTAGCTTTCCATCTCTTTATATTGACACTTAAAAGTCTTCATTAGAAGACTGAATGATGGTAATTTTCCCATCTCTAGCCAACAATGAAACAGTTGAATGAAAGTAATATTATATATTCGCAAAGGCGAAACGTTGATTAAAATAGAAATATTTTTATGCATATATCTTGAGTATAAAGGTAGTTTTTTCTAAACTTTTATCAAAATGTGTAAATCCCTCCAGTATGCACTACAAATTTTGAAATACAACAAAAAGTGATATTACATAATCTACATCTGTGTACACAGGTGTATTAAATATACATGGAATATTATCTCACGTGACTCCATGAAGAACTGTTCAGCTTTAAATTCCATACTCTTTAAAAATTATCTAGTTCTTCGAACGAACTTAGCTCCTGTTATTCATCTTACCTGCAGGGACTCTAGTTTTAGAGAAAAGGAGGAGCTAACTCCCCAGAAAAATGTGAAGAACTGGCAATAAAGTATCAATTTTACGCTTTTAAATTGTTTATTCTCTAAAGCTCAGATGGCGTTGCTGCTTATCTCAGCCTTCTTGTGTTGCAAAGATTTAGTTGTACTCACTTGTCCGATCATTTCCTCAGAAGACCATGAGAATCAAGTCAATCACTTTCAATAAAATGATTTGATAAAGATTCATAATTCCAAAAGTTTCTAAGCAGTTTCAGAATAAAATACAGAATAGTTGGATGTAGTTAAGTTCTAACTGTACAATACCAACTTTTATTATACTCTAATGTTAGATTATTCTTTGGTAGAGGAAAAATAAGCTGAAGTTTCTTAAACCTGAAGGTATAAAATGCAAATAACGTTCGTGGAAAGAAAAATACCATTAAAAACAGCATAACCAACTACCACTGTGCCAGTCAGTGGAAGAAGCTAGAATATAAAATAGGTAATGATTGAAAATCCGCTCAATTCGTGATAAATATTCCCGCTTCTCAACGGTGTGCAACTGAATAGAAAAAAGTCTTAGTTCAATATTACCAAAAAAGCTTTACGTAATTATTCTGATACGTCGTGAAATGAGGTTTTATATGTAAACTGGTAACAGTAAACTTTACCCATAAAATATTACATCAAATGACTTAATGCTGACACATAAAATGTCGTCCTTTTGGTTTTGTGATTCGTTTTATTATTTTGTTTTATTGTTTAATTCTGCATCTCTTTGAAGTATACAGTACAACTATTGAGATTAGAAACTTCAACGTCATTTTTCAGATCAACAAAACAGAAATTTATTGATTATTAATCCTAGTAAAATGGAGTGGATTTTCCACAAGTAAAATTAGTGTTATTTTAATATCAAATAAAAACTTATTTATTTTTTACTCCATTCAGGTGCACTTTGAAGTGGATTCTTTTGAAAAGTTATTAAAAAAAACGGCAATTTATTTGCACTTTGTTCTACATCAGCACTTACGTTCGATCATTAATTTAGATTTTTAATGGTAGCGGACTAAAGCATGCCGCGAATCTAATAAAGTTGAGATAAATAACGGCATGTATATTTTCAAATCCTTTGATAAAGTTCTAGCACTTCGAAAAATTCTCAGTTATGCAATACTGTATGAAACTTATATAGTTCTAAGCACAGATGTAAGATAAAAGTCTGTGATGAAATAAAATAAGACAAACCGGTGGGGGAAAGTCCGGCCCTAGGGAGCTATGGGCATCAGAACCATAATCCGCAACAGAAGTTCCATCCTTCGGTTTCTCCATGGCAACAGACTCTTCCAGGCTGTGGGAGGGGCACGGATAACGCTGTACTCTTTATGCCACCAGAAGAGAGGCAGTACTAAGCTTCCGAAAGCAGAGCGTCTTGTTAAAACGAATCTTTAAACTACAGCTGTCCAGTATATAAGCCAATGACACCAAGAAAACTCAGAATCACCAGCCCGTCACAAGTCCTGATTTTATACTGATGATGGCAAGAAACGGCCAACACAGACTGTTGACTCCAGGTACTCGGCCTACCGTACCGGGATACATAATACAATTTTGCCTAGGAAACGGGTCAGTGCAATGTGACTGACCTAGTTTCAGGTATTCTGAGAAATAAGCTTAGTGCTTGAGCATGTTTATTTCCAAACATATTTTCTTCTGTTTATATAAAAAACAACAACACAGTCTTGTGAAATCTGGTATATCATGAAACTATATTTAACATTCATGGAAACAATTTTTTTTTTGCCTTAACATGATAGAAATACGTACAAAACCCTTGATTTTTATTTCTGTTAAACACCATGATTTATTTTCGATACACATTCCCTATTGTGATAAACACCGTTTATGCCTATCTGTTCTCCGACTCCTTGCCATGCTAATGCTTGTTCTGCTGAAAGACGTATTCGATTTTATTCTTTTACGTTACTTAGTATTATTTTCTAAGTTGTTGTCATACTTCGAATCCTTCTTCTGAAGATTAATCAGAAACGTCCGAACAAGACATCAAATTATGACATTCTTTCTTTATATCTATCTATATATATATACATAAATGGATAACTTCGGAAATGAAAACAGATTCGTTAAAATGAAACAAATAATACGAAAGACGTGTTTACATGTTTGTTTGTTTTTAGTTATGCACAAAGCTACACAATGCGCTATCTGTGCTCTACCCACCACGGGTATTCTAGCGTTGTAAGTCCGCAGACATGCCGTTGTGCCACTGGGGACGTTTGCATGTTAGGAAATACAATTGTTTCAAAATCAAACGTAGGTCATTCCTTTTTTTTTATACGTAACAAGTAAATTTTAACCATATAGAAGTATCTCATCAAGTTTTTATATTTATTTTTCTAAACTACTCATACACCAAATTGCTTCTAGGTCCAATACTTTGTTGGTCCCTTATATCATACGGGTCACACAAAATGTAAAGAAACACCAAACAAACAAAAACAAACACAAAACAATACAACAGTTAATCCTATTAATATCTGCCTTGGTTTTGGTCAGTTCTTTACACTTATTACTCAATATTTGGATCCGACTGGTAGTGAATGGTATTTAAAAAACAAAACAGAAACAATGTCGGTAATATGAGAGTTAATATGAATTAGGGAATTTGCGAAACAGTTTGTTTGTGTTGATGTTCTGCAGATTGTCACAGTTGAGAACACTAATCCCCAAGAACTGTAGTTTCTTTAAACCTACCCCAAATAAGCTTGTTGTGTAAAACCTGAAGTTCTAAATTACAGTATGCTGCCTTTGGAACAATATGTCTGTCACTTTCACTGACAGATTCGAGTAATTGCGTATTGTTTGTTTGATGAATTTCGCGCAAAGCTACACGAGGTCTAACTGCGCTAGCCTTTCCTGATTTAGCATTGATAGACTAGAGGGAAACACCACCAACCCTGGGCTACTTTTTTAACAACAAATAGTTGGACTGACCGTCATATTAACGCCCCCGCGGCTGAAAGAACGAGCATGTTCGGTGTGATGGGCATTCGAACCCACGACCCGCAGGTTGCGAGGCGAGCACTCTAACCAACACGCCATGCCAGGCCCGATAAACGTGAAGGTAGGTAACTCAACAACAAATTCGTATTTGATCCATCACATCTTCTTTGTCATGTAATGTTACTTTTAGCGGTGTATCCACCGGGATGTTGTTGTGAGCAGATCCCCATTAGAGAATCCTCCCTAGCAGCCACCACCATCTGAGATATCAGAGTTTAGTCTTTTAAGATTTGAAAATTATTTGTACATTTTGGAAGTCACTGACATGAAAGCGTAACTTTTTCTGCCCCCTCCCAAACTAGCTGTTTGCTCCCTTTCTACCCTTCTCCCCTCCCACCAATAAAAGATCCTAGAAACGTCACTGATCACTTTATGAACTTACTAGCTCAGAAGCGTACCGTTTTAAATGATAATATAAATCTATGCTTCGACTGGCTTATTACAAATCAGAAACAACATATCATCACGTACACAAAGTTATTAACGTTTTTTAGCCATCATTCAACGGATGAATGAAGAAAAACCTGAACTGCCGTTCTGAGTAGTAAAAATTTATAAACTTAATTGTTGAATATTTTCTTTAGAAAAACACGTGCTTAAAATGAATCTGGCTCATGATAGGTACATAGAATTCGCAAAACAAATTCAAATGACCTGTTTCGCTTGAGCTTAAATAGTTTTTGGAAAGTTTAATTTGAAGAATTGTTTGTGTGTACACAAAATAACCGTAGCTGACATATAATAAAATTCTTTATTACTTTTCGATTTTAATGAAACCGGAAACACATCTGGAAAGATAATTAAAAAATAAAACGATTAAACATTTTTTTAAAAATTTTGTTTAAATGATGATATTATCTTAATTGTTGACTCGACTTCGTGACGTTAGGTTGTATATGCAGGAGCGTTGGATAGTGATGCCATACAGAATCATTTACTAAGTATTTCTGTGTAAGAAGGTACACAAATTGAAGAACTTTCAAAGTTATACTATGCATGCAACGTATTCATTACCGGAAGTCTGAATACACACCTAAGGTGACATAATTTCCTTCATTGATCAAACGAGGGTTTATAGAGGAGAAGACACGTAGCTAGT